GGACCCCCACCGGGGGCCCTTGGTGCCCCCCCCCCCAAGTGAGACTCGATTTGCTCCACTAACCCCCTTCCCCCGTCGGGGCCCTTAGCCCCTCTGTCGGGCAAGTCCTGGTGCCACCACTGACTAGAAGTAAAAAAAAGAAAGACATAGGAAACTGTGACCATTGAAGTATTATTGAGAAGGAGATCACTCTTCAACACAGCAGTTGTGCGATAAACCATTTGATTTTAACTCATTAAACATCTTTAAAATTAACAATGTTCCTCTGAATTGATTTTTTCGGACTTTTAGTGTGTTATTATGTGCATATTTGACTAACAGATTTCACAAAACATTTCTGTTGTAATTACTTCTGTGTTCATTATCATTATTTTTGTCTAAAATTGACTAAAATGCTTAGGCAGCGTGAAAATGAAAAATTTTGGAATGATTTTTCGAATAGTTAACCCTATTATAATCCTCAATCATTTATTAATAAATATCCGTTAAAATTAGAATTAGCAAATTTTGTCCAATTTATAAAAATTGAAGTTGAAATATACTATACTTTTAAAGGTCATGTAAATGTTCCATTCAATTTGAAACTTTTTTGGTTGAAAATATTAATATGTTTCATATTTTATGAGAGATAAATGTATCAGTTTCAAAATGGAAACGATTACGCAGCCATAGTGATTGACTGTATGTAGTGCGCATCGAGAAAAGTAGGTGCTCTTCATTTCGCCATGTTCAATTTTTTTGGTAAACTATGCCTGCTGAAATTTGATGGCGGGGAAGACATCAGACTTCCAAGCCATCGCGCAAACGTTCTTCACGCGCTGCGGCAGCTTTGATCTTGGTTCATTTGCATAGTGCTGCGTGCATATAGATTTTTCAAGTGAATTTCTTTCTCAATAATACCTCCATGCTGTGACTAACTTTAGATAATATTTATTCACGAGATTTTGCTGGTAATGCATTTTAACTTCATTGGGCGACACACCTTTATCGTAAAAAAAATTACTCTGAGTTTCACGCTTTATGGCGTCGATCAACAACCAGGCCATTTAAACCAATATTTCTTGTATAGAATTTGAACAACCAATGATTCTATGTATAAAAGACATCAATATTCTCTCCCTCATTATATGAAGACAAGTTAGGATTCCCGTAGAGATAATTTGTTAATCACGATTCAGTATAATGTAAAGTGAAATTTTATACCATATTGTGGAATATGGTAAGTTTTAAACTTATAAATTTAATTTGCAGACATGAAATGACTTGTTTTTTGTTTTTTTAATATAGATCACATTTTGTTAATATCGGAACAGAAGCACCAACGGAAATGAATGATTATGTAACATCAATAAATGTACCAACCTATTTGTCAACTATTATCAAACAATCTAACGGTATGGACTTGCACAGGAGTGATAATACCCCTCATGATTATGATGAAATTCCAAATGGTGATACAGGATATGAAATAGTACCTCTGGCAACCAGCGGTATAGGCAATGATGTTGCACCACAATCTATGGAAACACAGTTGGGAAATAATGTAGCGTATGAACATGATTATGAGCC